TCTTTGGGTTTGAGGTGAGTTTCTTGTAAGCAGCATATAGATGGGTCTTGCTTTTTTATCCATTCTATTACTCTGTGTCTTTTGATTGGTGCATTAAGTCCATTTACATTTAGGGTGACTATTGAGAGATATGTACTTATTGCCATTGCAGGCTTTAAATTCATGGTTACCAAAGGTTCAAGGTTAGTCTCTTTAGTATCTTACTGCCTATCTTAGCTCACTCATTGAGCTGTTATATACACTGTCTGAAGATTCTTTTCTTCTCTCCCTTCTTATTCCTCCTCCTCCATTCTTCATATGTGTTGTGTTTTATTCTCTGCTCTTTCTAGGAGTGCTCCCATCTAGAGCAGTCCCTGTAAGATGCCCTTTAGAGGTGGTTTGTGGGAAGCAAATTCCCTCAGCTTTTGCTTGTCTGGGAATTGTTTAATCCCGCCATCATATGTAAATGATAGTCATGCTGGATACAGTATCCTTGGTTCAAGGCCCTTCTCTTTCATTGCATTAAATATATCATACCATTCTCTTCTGGCCTGTAGGGTTTCTTTCAAGAAGTCTCATGATAGCCTGATGAGTTTTCCTTTATAGGTAACCTTTTTCTCTCTAGCTGGCTTTAAAACTCTTTCCTTGTCCTTGATCCTTGCCATTTTAATTACTATGTGTCTTGGTGTTGTCCTTCTTTGATCCTTTCTGTTTGGGATTCTGTGTATTTCCGTGGTCTGTTCGATTATTTCCTCCCCCAGTTTGGGGAAGTTTTCAGCAATTATTTCTTCAAAGACATTTTCTGTTCCTTTTCCTCTCTCTTCTTCTTCTAGTACCCCTATAATATGGATATTGTTCCTTTTGGATTGGTCACATACTTCTCTTAGTGTTGTTTCATTCCTGGAGATCCTTTTATCTCTATGTCAGCTTCTGTACGTTCCTGTTCTCTGGTTTCTGTTCCTTCAATCGCCTCTTGCATCTTATTCATTCTGCTTATAAATCCTTCCAGGGTTTGTTTCACCTCTGTGATCTTCTTCCTTACATCTGTGATCTCCCTCCAGACTTCATCCCATTGCTCTTGCATTTTTCTCTGCATATCCGTTAGCATGTTCACATTTTTATTTTGAATTCTTTTTCAGGAAGAATGGTTAGGTCTGTCTCCTTCTCAGGTGTTGACTCTGTGATCTTTCTTTGCCTGTAGTTTTGCCTTTTCATGGTGATAGAGATAGTTTGCAGAGCTGGTACGAGTGACGGCTGGAAGTCCTTCTCTTCTTGTTGGTTTGTGGCCTTTCTCCCTTCACGAGGCACTGAGTTCTCACAGGTGTGGATGTTGTCTGAATGTTGTCCTGTGTCCTCTGGTCTCTATTTTAGGAAGAGTTGTCTTTGTTATATTTTCATAGATATATGTGGTTTAGGGAGGAGATTTCTGCTGCTCTACTCACCCCGCCATCTTTGCTCCAGGCCTTGTTAGACTTTTATAGTTGAAATGTAAGAATCTTTTTATATATTCAATAAAGTACCCTTACCTGACATATGATTTGTAAAAATGTAGTTTACTGTTTCACTTCTTGATAGTGGCCTTTACTGCACAAAAGTAATTTTGGTGCCCATTCACCTAATTTTTCTTTTGTTGATTGTGTTTTTCATGTCATATCTAAAAAACCATTCCCAATTCCAAGGTCATGAAGATTTGCTCCTATCTTTCTTCTGCTAGTTTTAGTTCTTATATTTAGATCTTTGATTCATTTGCAATTGTATTATTTGTAGCAAAATTTTTATTTTATTTTGCAATCTGTATATGGAGTAAACTCATTATAAAGCTTATAAGAACTTCTGTTTAACAGTGGAAGAGTAAAAGATATTAAGCTATAAGTGTGAAGATTTATGTTCAAATCTTATTTCTGCTACCTGTAAACCACAATGTGTCTTGGGCAAGTAATTTAGCCTGTCTTACATTCCTCATATAAAAATTGTATCTACAAATACTCATGCTGGTTTTCTCTCAGAGCTGTTTTGGTCAAATAAGATCTTGAATGTGAATGTTTTTATGAAATGATGCTAAACAAATGTAATGTACCTAATTATTTTCTTACTGTATTTTATTCAGCCAATCTTTACAACGTTAAGCTAATAGTGTTTTGTATTTACTTACAAATATTCATAGGAAACAAAATCCAATTCATTGGAAACTAGCTAATGTAGAAAATTACTCCCGCATGAGACTTAAATTGGTGCCAAATTATAGCTTCAAAAGCCATGATGAAGCTAGTGCCTTGAGAGATAATCTAGGTGAGTACCAGCAACTGTTTGATTGTTTGTTGAAGGTACGGTATTGGTGGGGTTATTGTTTTGATTAATTTTTCAAAATTGTTTATTTATGAAAGATAGCTGATATTAAATGGTTATATATATTAAGTGCTGTACCTTTGACCTAAATTTAAGAAAACTTCCTATTTCAATGGATTGTAATTTTTCAAGAAATGTAATTTTAAATCATAAATTGATCTTAGATGGGCCAATGCCTTTTTCTAGAAAAAACTGCAAAACACATAGCCTAGCAGTATTTCAAAACAGATTTTAAAGAGTTTCTACAACTTTTTAGGAAGCCCCTCCTTTCTAACTCTCTGATTTGGTATCCCTCCCTTTTCTAAGACAGGTTCATGAAATACCCCAAAGATTGATTGTTAAAAGTCTTTGGCAGTCATATATACACTATATTGCATTTAATTCATTATAGTCTCCTGTGTACCTTGTGTTCACTGAGTAAGTTAATATGGAACGAGTACCAGTTTATATTGCTTTTTAAAGCTGCCTTAATATATTGGCCAATAACAATTGATGCCATAAAATTAATCAAGAGAGCCATGATGCCTATCATGTAGGGTCTTACATTCTAAAACAAGTCAGACACAGCAATTGATTTTCCTTAATGCAGAAGAATGACCCTGCTCATGACACAAACACTAACTTTGAGAGTATCTTGTATAGGAATGGTCAGTTGCATATAGCTTGTCTTCCCTGTATGTATCCTGAGACTATTATATTTTACTCCTTGAAATTTTACTATACAGATAACCTAGCAACTATCTTTTGGCAAATAACTTGAATCTATTAATATTTATAGAATAGCATCCCTATTTTTTTTTTTTTCAGTTTTGGTAAGAAATCCCAACCCAGGAATTCCCTGTCTTTCTCCCCTTATCCCCTCTCTACACATTTACGCAGATACAATTTCATATCCCTCCTTCTTGGTCTTAGTTGTTTTTAAGTCCAGGAAAACTAGTTGTCCTTCCTTTTTTTCCCCATCTCTGAGTCTTTCTCTTTACCTAGTTTTCAAAACTACCCCAAGTACAATGGCAACACTAAAATTATATAGAAGAAAATAGTCATACATTTCAAAGTGAAATTGGAAATAGTGCAAAGCCAGTGGCATCAGTCTTTAAAACTCTTTATAAAAGGTTCACTAAAGCAAAATGTTTTATCTACTCATTTTTGTCTGTATTTTTTATTAGCTGCCAGAATTCATAGTGATTTTTTAAAAAGCACTATTTTATTTTGTTTCGCTTACCCTGGTACTGCTTTGTAAGTATTCCATTGCAAATATACAGAGTAGTTTTTACATTGTGGGCTAACCTGCAAAGGTAACCATTAATCGTAACATCTTTATGGAAAATTCATTATGTATTCCAAACAAGTGAAATATGAAGTATCTTTTGGAACAAATGCACTTGTAAATTCTGGGACAAGAGTATTCAAAAAGAAAGTATATTCCTAAATATATAATTTAAAATATTTGACTTCAGAGAAGTTTTTTTGTCCATACTTCTTTTCTGAGAATTTGCCACAATTGATTTTTTTAGTCCTTTACCGCTTCCATAGTCTTTGAAGCATTTGATATGTATACTCCTTTATAACTGTATTTCTTTCCTAGAAGTGCTGCTTAAACCCCTAATTTTCTTACCAATTTTTAGTCTTTTTTTTCCTAGAGACTTTTAAATGATGGTTTTCTCTTACCGGGGCTAGCCATCTTCCCTTTTACCTATGCTTTTTAATGAAATGGTTATCTCATGGCGTCACCATAGAATATATATAAAATTGTGTTTTCCCATCTGTATTTCTAGTTCTAACCTGCCTTCTGAAATTCAGATCAAGGTTTTCAACTGCCTATCTGCCTACTAGGGTACCTCTTCCACAGAGGTGTCCATATAACATTTCTGAAAGTGAATTCATTATTTTTTCTCATTTGCCTATTCCTCATCCTAGATTCTACTTCTCTTCTATCTTGTGTTATAGTTATTATTGCCTCCACCTATTAATCACTCAAAATTCTTAGTATTAACAATGAGTCTGTCCTCATTCTTCTTAATCCCCTACACATAATAGCTCTTTACGTACAGTGTCCTGTTAATTCTACCTCATATATCTTGAATGTTTTTCCTTATGTTTATTCTTTTTGCTATTGCCATGGCTTAGCTAGGTGCTTCCTTTTTCCAAACCTACAGTAGTTTCCCAGATGGCCTCCTTATTTGCATAGTTCCCTGTGCCTGTTTTATTCACCAATATTTTATATGATTTTGAACTTATATTCTTAGTGGTGCATCATCATCCACATAAAGTCAGCTTTCTGTTTGTATCAGATTATCTAGACTACCTGTTTCTGTTTTTATTGCATTATTTTGTTCTTTAATTAAATATTTAACAATAAATTTTTGCTTAGCACATGAAAAAACATGTTTGGTAGAAACACTTACTCTAGGGAGTGTAAGTATTTACACTTGGCTTACGCCAAGAGTTCCCAGTATAGAAGAATGTGTGATCAAAGCAGATTTACATAGAAAAAGACAACTGTAATGATTCATTTTAGAAGTCTGAGGTAACCACTTGAGAAACTAAGGGAGGATTTCCCATCTTTTATAATTTATATTTTTATTTAGTATGAATTATTTCTATTTTCTGCAAATGAAAATGTCTTTATTCATAGTTAAATACATAAATTTCCCCAGTCTTACCTATAAATTATGCATGTATTTGTATTACTGTTCTTATGCTCAACCTCCCAGATAATTGAGAGTTGAATGTACAGTAATGATAGCTGCCATTTACTTTATTCTTTATGTGATGTGATGTATTTCCATATCACCATTAAGAAAACATAGATTCAGAAGGGTCACTTGGCTAGTAAATAGAAGAATGGAATTTGAATCTAGGTTTGCCACTTCATTAGTGTGTGGTCTTTCCATTACACTAGTCCTGCCTTCTTACAATATGTATAGTTTATAAAAAGCATTACATTTATTACCTATATGTGTATTAGAATTACTTATTAAATTTAATGTACTTTAGAAAGGAGCACTTCAGCTCTTGGTCTGTGTATTATCTTCCAGTTAAAGATAACTTGTCACATCCTTTCTTAATATTTCTTTAGTACAAATGAACAGTAAAAATAGTTCTATTAATATAATGAGAATAATTCTTTCCTTGACTTAATTATTTGCATGCTTTGGAATTAAACTTAATTGAAGAGATTATTTGGCCTATTTCTGAAACAAATTGTACTGTCATTAAAAAATAGATACCATAGTTTTTGAACATTTGTTTCTTTATATATATAGTAATTTTTAAAATCACAAATAGTATAGATCACTCTAAATCATGTATACAAACTTTTCTGTAGAAAATTGCTTTTTGTCTTAGGTAATTTCAAATACCTCCTATATTATCTTTGTTCAGCTTTATCGGAATATAATCGGCATACAAAATTGTGTAAGTTTCAGGTGCACATATTGCAAAATAATTACAATAATTTTTCCTCGTATAGTTAAAATTTTATTTTCCTTGTGATGAACCTTTAGGATCTACTCACTTAGCAAGTTTCATATATACTATACAGCATTGTTAACCACAGTTATCATGTTGTACATACATCCCCAGTACTCATTTATCTTATAAAGGGAAATTTGTACCTTTTGTCCACCTTCACCCAATACCCTTGTCTCCCTTTCCTTTCTTATAATACCCATTATTATTAAATAATTAACTGTCAAAAGTTATAGAAGAGCTTTATAATTTTTTTTTACTTCATGTTTATTTCATATTTTATATTTAAACAGGTGTCCAACACTCACAGCCTTCCAGTGAGTCATTGCTTTTGGAAGCAGTGAAACAAGTAAAAGTTAGTGGTATGGAAGAGGATAAATTAGACATTCCTGAAGAAGATACAACAGCCAGAGTAAATGTGTATGTATAAGTATTTGAAAGAATTTAAAATTACTTTGTTCTGAGAAATGTGATTGTGAAATTGTGGATGACATTTGCCTTAGAATAATAATACTATGTATTTCCGAGGTCCAACAATCAATGCTATATCAGCTGTTAGGAATCTCAGTGTTAATTAAGGTTACTGAGGAAAGCTTCTTAGAACTGAGGTAACTTGAAGCTAGACTTTTAGGTTAAAAGTTATTTTGAAATGAATGATAATGAAACATAACAAATCAAATTTATGGCATAAAGCTGAAGCTATGTTTAGATGGAAACCCATCATGAAAGAATTCTTAAGTAGAAGGAAGAGATTAAAAATATACATGTAAAAATCCATGAACAAGAAAAACAAAAAGATCAAAGAAAACAAAAGCTGGTTATTAAAAAACAAATAGATAACAAAAGCCTCCTGGTAGACTGGTCAGGAAAGAAAGATACATAAATTAAATTAACATGAGAAATGAAAGAGGAGATAATGCTATAAATATTAAAATTATTAAAAAAACATACTAATGACAACTTTATGCCAAAAATTTGACAACTTCAATGAAGAGGACAGGATTAAAGATGACGGCGTGAGAGGTGAGACAGAGGCTTCCTCCTAAAACTGCATATAATATGAAAATATAATATAACTAATCCTGAAAGAGCAACAGGAAAGAGGGCCGCACCACACTGCATACACCTGGAAAAAAGAATAAACCTCACGGAACAGAGTAACATAACAAAACCATGGCCTGGTGGAACCCAAGCCCTTCCCCCACCCCAGCTCACCAGTGGGAGGAAGAGAAACGGAGCAGGGAGGGAGTGGAGGCATGTGACTGCTGAACACCTAACTCCAGAGAACTGCTCTGGGAGCACAAACCTACATTTCATGGTGCTTTCATGGTACTCCCGTAATTAGGGGATTGAAAAGCTAAGACAGGCAGAATTCCTGGAGAGACCGAGATTCCAGCTGCTTGTGGAAAGCAGGAATCCATATCTGGCTGCTCTGGGACAAAAGAAAGGTGAGCACTCTGAGAGACTTCATAACAGCAAGAGGGCTGCTAAAGGGGCAAGGATCGCACAAAGGTTACTGTTCAGGAGAAAGGACAGGAAGACAAAATTGTCAGGGTGCACTCTTCGCAGCAGGTTGGGAACTTTCACTATCTTCAGGTGCTCCAGCTCCCTGGCTTGCTACAGAGCTCAAAGGGTGCCCTCCATGAAACACAGCCTACTGCACCTTTCTCCTGGCCAGCCCCCAGCCAGAGGGAAGCCCCGTCTACAGCAACTACAAATGCAAAGCATAGAAGCTTATACCTGTGTGCTCGGACTACTGGTTCTGGCAGTGGAGGCAGGCATAGCAGCCGTGAAGCAGGAAACAGCTCTTTCCTCCCCCCAGACACCAATATGGCACCCTGTGACCCCCAACATTGCTTCAATACTGAGCAGCTCCAGAGAGTAGAGCTTCTGGGCACTAGAGGGTACCATATACAAATATGAAATGCCAAAAGAACCTGGTTCAAAGTAAAAATATGAATACAGCACTTGAGAAAGATTCAAGTGAAATTGACCTCATGAATCTTCCTGAAAGGGATTTCAAAATAAAAATCATTAGCATGCTCATGGAGGTACAGAAAAATATTCAAGAACTCAGGAATGAATTCCGGTCGGAGATCTGATAGTTGAAGAGTGCAATGGAGGGTATTAAAACCAGTTTAGAAACGGTGGAGGAGATGATAAATGAAATAGAAACTAGAGAAGAAGAATACAAAGAAACTGAGGCACAGAGAGAAAAAAGGATCTCTAAGAATGAAAGAATATTGAGAGAACTGTGTGACCAATCCAAATGGAACAATATTTGCATTATAGCGGTACCAGAAGAAGAAGAGAGAGAAAAAGGGATACAAAGTGTCTTTGAGGAGATGATTGCTGAAAACTTCCCCAGTCTGGGGAACGAGATGGTTTCTCAGGCCATGGAGACCCAAAGATCTCCCAACACAAGGGACACAAGGAAGACAACACCAAGACATATAATAACTAAATGGCAAGGATCAAGGATAAAGACAGACTATTAAAACAGAGAGAGAAATAAGATCACATACAAAGGGAAGCCCATGAGGCTAACATCAGACTTCTCAGCAGAAACCTTACCAGTCAGAAGGGAGTGGCATGATGGATTTAATACAATGAAGCAGAAGGGCCTCTAACCAAGAATACTTTATCTGGCAAGGTTATTATTTAAATTTGAGGGAGGGATTAAACAATGTCTAGATAAGCAAAAGCTGAGAGAATTTACCTCCCACAAACCATCTCTACAGTCTATTTTAGAGGGACTGCTATAGATGCAAGTGTTCCTAAGGTTTAATAGCCATCACCAGAGGTAGTAAAACCACAGTAAAGAAAGTAGAACAGCTAATTACTAAGCAAATGCAAAATTAAATTAATTATCCCCCAAAATCAATCAAGGGATAGACAGAGTAAAGAATATGATACCTAATATATAAAGAATTGAGGAGGAAGAAAAGGAGGAAAAAAATAAAGAACCTTTAGATTGTGTTTGTGATATCATTTTAAGTGAGTTAAGTTAGACTCTTCAATAGTAAGGAAGTTACCCTTGAACCTTTCGTGACTACAAATCTAAAGCCTGCAATGGCAGTAAGTACATATGTATTGATAATCACCCTAAATGTAAATGGACTGAATGCACCAATCAAAAGACATAGAGTCACTGAATGGATAAAAAAACAAGACCCATCTATATGCTGCCTACAAGAGACTAACTTTAAACCCAAAGACATACACAGACTAAATGTGAAGGGATGGAAAAAGATATTTCATGCAACTAACAGAGAGAAAAAAGCAGGTGTTGCAGTACTTGTGTCAGACAAAATAGACTTCAAAGCAAAGAAAGTAACACAAGAAAAAGAAGGACATTATGTAATGATAAAGGGGTCAATCCAACAAGAAGACATAACCAATATAAATATCTATGCTCCCAACACAGGAGCACCCACATATGGAAACAAATACCAACAGAATTAAAAGGGGAAATAGAATGCAATGCATTCATTCTGACTCTTCAACACTCCACTCACTCTGAAGGACAGATCAACTGGAAAGAAAATAAGTAAGGACACAGAGGCACTGAACAGCACATTAGAACAGATGGAACTAACAGACATCTACAGAACTCTATGCCCAAAATCTGCAGAATACCCATCCTTCTCAAGTGCACATGGAACATTTTCAAGAATAGATCATATACTAGGTCCCGGACAGAGCCTCAGTAATTTCAAAAAGATTAAAATTATACCAACCAGTTATTCAGACCACGAAGGTATGAAACTAGAAATAAATTACGCAGAGAAAATGAAAAGTCCCACAAACACATGGAGGCTTCACAACATGCTCCTTAATTACCAGTGGATCAATGACCAAATAAAAACAGAGATCAAGCAATATATGGAGAGCAATGACAACAATAATTCAACACTGCAAAATCTGTGGAACACAGTGAAGGCCATGCTAAGAGGAAAGTATATTTCAATACAGGGGTACCTCAGAAAAGAAGAACAATCCCATATGAACACTCTAAACTCACAATTAACGAAACTAGAAAAAGAAGAACAAATGAGGCCTAAAGTCAGTAGAAGGAGGGAATAATAAAGATTAGAGCAGAAATAAATAAAGTCGAGAAGAATAAAACAATAGAAAGAATCAATGAAAGCAAGAGCTGGTTCTTTGAGAAAATAAACAAAATAGATAAACCCCTAGCCAGACTTATCAAGAAAAAAAGAGAGTCCACATACACAAACAGAATCAGAAATGAGAAAGGAAAAATCAGTATGGACAACACAGAAATACAAAGAATTATTAGAGAATACTATGAAAAATATGCCAACATACTGGATAAGCCAGAAGAAATGGACAACTTTCTAGAAAAATACAACCTTCCAAGGCTGACGCAGAAGGAAACAGAAAATCTGAATAGACCAATTACCAGCAAAGAAATTGAATTGGTAATCAAAAAACTACTTAAGAACAAATTCCTGGACAAGATGGATTCACTACTGAATTTTATCAAACATTTAGTGAAGACCTAATACCCATTCTCCTAAAGTTTTCCAAAGAGTAGAAGAGGGAATACTTCCAAACTCATTCTATGAGGCCAACATCACTCTAATACCAAAACCAGGCAAAGACACCACAAAAAAAGAAAATTACAGTTCAGTATCCCAATGAACATAAATGCAGAAATACTCAACACAATGCTAGCAAACTGAATTTAAAAATACATCAAAAAGATCATCCATGATAATCAAGTAAGATTTATTCTAGGGATGCAAGGATGGTATAACATTCGAAAATCCATCAAAATCATCCACCACATCAACAAAAAGGACAAAAAACCACATGATCATCTCCATAGATGCTGAAAAAGCATTCGACAAAATTCAACATCCATTCATAATAAAACCTCAACAAAATGGAGATAGAGGCAAGTACCTCAACATAATAAAGGCCATATGTGATAAACCCACAGCCAACATTATACTTAACAGCAAGAAGCTGAAAGCTTTTCCTTTAAGATCACGGACAAGACAGGGGATGCCCACTCTCCCCACTGTTATTCAACACAGTACGGGAGGTCCTAGCAATGGCGATCAGACAACACAAAGAAATAAAAGGCATCCAGATTGGCAAGGAAGAAGTTAAACTGTCCCTGTTTGCAGATGACATGGTATTGTACATAAAAAACCGTGAAGAATCCACTCCAGTACTACTAGATCTAATATCTAAATTCAGCAAAGTTGCGGGATAGAAAATTAATACACAGAAATCTGTTGCATTCCTATACACTAATGTTGAACTAGCAGAAAGAAAAATTAAGAAGACAATTCCATTCACAGTTGCATCAAAATGAGTAAAATACCTAGGAATAAACCTAACCAAGGAAGTGAAAGACATATATATACTCTGAAAACTACAAGACACTC